AAAGCAATTAAACAAATGAGTGAACGAATGTGTAAAATTGAAAAAGAAAAATCTGATAAATTAATATATAAATTACCAGCGTTAAATTTGTGTAGTTATAGTTTGTTCTGAATTAATGACATTAAGTCAGAATCTTAATGCTATTAATTTTAAAGATAAAAATAAAAGTCATCAATAATAATTTGGTCATCTTCATTGATGACTTTAATAGTTATTTTTTTCACTTGTAATGAAATAAAATTAGCCATATCACTCGCATACACTAATTTAACTTTATGAAGGTCTTTATTAAGAAAATAATAAATATCAAATAAATTAATTGATATTAAAGTTCGATTACACACATTAAACCAACGAGTAAACGAGCTAAATGTAACAAATATATCATATTCAATAAATAATTTTAATGGTTTATTTTTTTGATGTAATTTATCTAACTCACTTAAATTAAAAATATATGATATTCCATTATTAATATTGATATTATCAATTTCAAAATAATGTATGTTATTTAATGTGTAAGATTTATATACTGGTTTATATTTATTAATATAATTTTTAATAATATTACTATTTTTTATTTTTAATAATCTAACATCACCTAAATTATAAGATAATACTATGTCTTTAATTTCTATTGGTAAATCATAAAATATCATATAATATTAATATATATTTAATTATTTAATTATTTAATTATTTAATTAGTAATTTTCAAATATTGAGAAAACTTTTTCATAAACATTTTATCTGGATTCTTTTCTAAAAGGTTAATATATAAAAAACTATGCGGTTCATCAGTGGCAGTCTCATATATTTTATAAATTAGTTTCTTGCTTTCATGTAAATTATCGCTTCTAACAATTGCTGATAATTCATCTTGCAATATTTCTATCTCTTTAAAATTTCTAACTTTATAATAAAACAAATGACTTATATTTACCCTAATAATTGGTGGTACGGTTGATGATTTTTGAAGACTTACAAGTGTTGATATTCCACTATGACGACCTCTACAAAATAAAGAATTTAACAATTTGTTATTTCTTGTTATTGCTGGATTATCAGATACATCATCCAAAATTACCAAAATATTAAATAATTTCTTCGTTCCTTGTTTTTTCTGGTATTCAATTATTTTATTTTGAGTTTCTATAACTCTTTCTAAATCTTCAACATTGAACTCATCCCACCAACACGGTTCTTTATCATTATCTACTTTCAAACCTTCTTTAATGTATTTTTTAACAGGCAACCAAATACTATCCAAATTTACAGATGGAGACCAGATAAAAATTCTTTCAAATGCTCCTCTATAAATATCAAGTATCATTGATACAAGTAAAGTTGATTTTCCACTTCCAGATGGACCGACGATCATAGCTCTCATCGGCAATTTAGGGACGACCTCATGCTTACTTTGCTTAAAGTCATATTTGATTTCATCAATTGGTTTTACATCAGGCATAATAAAAATAATATTATAAATACTTATAAATAAAAAATATATATAAATATTTATATAATCATAATGCCAAGAAGATCTATTAATCTAAGTGAAGTTACTAGTATTCGGAATATATATAAATTCGGTGATGTTTTAGTTCCAGATACTGGCCAACTATATTATGATACGATTTTACCGTTTTTATCGACGATTAATAGCCAAAATACTATAATACCTAAATCATCAATCGAAAACGAGGATATCCTAAATTATAATAAATTATTGAATTTTATGAAAGATTATCCCGATATATATACAAATGAAATGATAAATGGTGTACAAGAAATTATTAATAATAATATTCTAGATGTTAGTATACCAACTGCAGTAAAACTTACTAAAGAAAATAATTTAAATACAAATTCTATTTAATATTAAGGGACACGAGGAACGAGCCTCGCGTGCTAACGCGACCATCGTTTTATGATATGCTGGTGGCGAATATCATAAAATGGAACAGGCTTTCCATTGCTACAATCAATAAGCATTGAAGCTAAATAGTTTGTATCTCTCTCGCGTGTGCAATGAAAACCCCAAGTGCTGTGCCCCACCAATATTCTATTATGCATGAAAATAATAAGATTAAATAATTTAAATAATTATTTTATCTTATTATTATATGACTGTTATCCATTGCAATTGTTGTAAAACTTATGATGACAAATATTTATTTAAACATCTAAATTCAAAACATCATCAGAAATTTGTAGAATATAGATGGAATAAAGACGATACAATGAAAAAACTTTACAAGAAAAGAAAGACAGAAATGAAAAATAATTTATCTTATTATTTAATATGAAAAGGAGTTATACAGATTATATTAATATAATAGATGAAATGGAGAATATAGAACAAGTACTAATAACTGATAATAGATGTAAAAAAATATGTTATTTTATTTTAGAATTAATTAAGTTTTTGATACAATATATTAAAAATATAAATATTAATATAAATGGGAAAAAAGAAAAACAAAAAGAATAAGACAGGTTTAAGTGTTTCATCAACTGATGAAGAAATTGTTAAAGAAACATCAGTTATTGAGGTTGTTTGTCCTACATGTAAAAGAATGTTAGAACTTAAGAATGAATTACAAATAAAAAATAATAAAAGTTGTAAATGTTCATGTATTCCAACAAGTTTCAAAATAAGTAAAAATGATAAGAAAATGAATATTGATAAAACTAAAGACAGTATCAACTTAGAAACTGATGTCCATAGTATAACTTTTAAATTTGGTAGGCAAGCAACACCAACCGATAATAATGAAAACGAAACTCAGGAAACTGTTAAACAAATCATGAAAAATTAGTATTTAAAGAGTAGATTTAACATAATTGCACTTTATAAATATAAATAAATAAATATTTAAATAAATATCTAATTATTTATATAATCATAATGCCAACTATGAATGGACAAGACCATAGAATTATAACTTTTGACAATGAAGAAATTAAAGACCTATTCGATGGTGATAAAAACTTTGCTAGACAATTGAGTATAGAATATTTTTATTGGTTAGATGCTAAATTTAATAATAAATATTTTATGAAAGGTATAACTAAACCAGATAAATTTGATAAAATGTTGAAGTATTTTGAAATTACAGGTAACGATGAAGGTTTAATAAAATTGAAAAATAAAATTGATGAAAGACTCTTAGAATATAATTTATTTACATATATAACATTAAATTATTCAGGTAAATTATATAATAAAACGTATAATTAAATAAATAATTATCTAAATAAATATATAGTAATGTCTGAAAATGAGAATTATACTATTAATGATGTAATGAAGAAGATAACATTAATTGGTAAAAATATCAAAACCTTAAATGATATGATTAAATCCATTAATGACAAAATGAAACCAGTTGAGCGCAATGAAGATAAAGAAAAAATCGAAAAGATATTTCAAGCAAAATCTATAGGAAGACCAACGGGTGATTATCCTACAAAGCAAAAGAAATACTGTGATATGTTGAATACAGGAAAAATCAAACAACCTAAAAGCACCACTTTAGAATTTTACAAAATTTCAAAAAATGATGATGGAGTATATGAATTATTTGAATAAATAATATCTAAATAATTCTAATAAATGAATTTATTAGAATTATTTAGTGGAACAAAACGCGTTGGAACCATAGCAAAGTCGCTTGGATTTAATGTAATATCAGACTTGAAAAATGCTGATATCAACACTGATATTTTGGAGTGGGATTACAAACAGTTTGACAGAAACCATTTTGATTTTATTTGGAGTAGTCCCCCATGCACTGAATACAGCATAGCAAAAACTAGGGGAACTAGGAATATTGAATATGCAAATAATATTGTCTTAAAAACTATTGAGATTATCAAATATTTCAATCCTAAATATTTTGTAATCGAAAATCCACAAACTGGATTATTAAAATATCAGGAGTTTATGGATGAGTTTGAATTTAAAGATGTTGATTACTGTAAGTATGGAATGCCATACAGAAAGAGAACTAGGCTTTGGAATAACATTACAACTTGGAAACCTAGAGAATTATGTAAAAAGGATTGTGGTAACATCAGGAATAATAAACATATTGAAACAGCACAACGGCTTCCATCGGGCACTAAGGAAAATTGGGGAGACAATCCAACAATACATAAACAGGAAGACCTATATAAAATACCTAGTGGTTTGATATTGGAAATTTTGATGGGGATAGATATGGGATAGGCAATTCCACAAGCTTTGTGGAATTATTCCGCGGGCTTCGTGGAACTCATTTTAGGTGGTGTTTTAGTGGGTGTTTGATGCAATTCCGCGGGGTTTTGTGGAAATATTCCATGGGCTTTGTGGAAATAATCCATGGGCTTTGTGGAAATATTCTACGGCCTATTGCAATGATTAAACCCATACTATGATTATCACATGTAAACTATTATATGTTATAATTGTAATATATTTATCGTTTGTAAAGATTGAATTATTATAATTTGCTTATCTCTTTCAAAGTGCGTTGTTTAGACTTGGCATGCTTCTTCAATTTTTTCGTGCTTTGGCTGTTTGTTTTTGTTTTGTTTGATACTCTTGTGATATTTTTTGTTGGTATGTTGCTTTGTTTTTTGTTGATGTGTGTTTTTGAGTTTGGGTTCTTTGATGATTTAGAGTGTTGCTGTTTTGTTGGTATGCTTGTTGAATTATTTAATGTTGTATGCTGTGATTATATATTTTTGTTGTTGGTTGTGATTATTTATTTTGTTTGCTTGTTGTTCTGGATTTTGTTTTCTGTTTGTTGTGTTGCTGTTGGAAAAATAGTAGAAAGAATAATTCTTTGAATTCTCCTTTTACTATTTTTTACCCCCCCCCCCCCCCCCCCCCCCCCCCCCCCCCCCCCCCCCCCCCCCCCCCCCCCCCCCCCCCCCCCCCCCCCCCCCCCCCCCCCCCCCGAGGACCCCGAACGCTGAAAAAAGACGCCTCGCTGCCCACGCAAGGTTCACGAGGAAGACCTGGCGGCAATGGAGGCATGAGGCCAAGGGTTGCGGTGGCGAGTGGCCTGCACATGTGCGCCCCATGTCTGTTCGAACAATACCTTTGCAGTAGTTTTGCGTTTGTGAACTCTGCTGGGCGTTTTCATTCTACTTTTCAACTGCGTGCAGTCAAGTTAAATGGCCATTTCCTTTGATTCCACGCTGGCCTCCCAAAATCATCAAACCGCGTGCCAGAATCGATATGGAACACTTTATCTGGGCACGTGGCTGCAACTGTTCCCGGTTTGCTTCTCAATTGCAGGGGGGCTGAAACACCCTTTCTTGGCACATTGTGTTGCACTCAGACTTCCAACTTTCAATGCAAGAGCACATGACTGATTCTACCTTTCAATAGAACAGTACACGATTCGATTGAAAGGTAGAGTATTGACTCACTCCACCTTTCAACATGACAGTGCGCGATTGAAAGGTCGAATAATCTATGTTTCGTTTTTGTACACGGTTGAAAGGTAGATCCCTCATAATTCTACCCTTCAATAGAACAGCGCACGATTTGTGGAAAAATGACCGATTCTACCTTTCAATAAGCCAGTACATGATTGAAAGGTAGAATGCCGACTCAGTCTACCTTTCAATATTTTACACACACTATTGAAAGGTAGAATAGTGTTCGCTGTAATTCTACCTTTCAAGACATCCGCGCATGATTGAAAGGCAGAATGCTGGGTGGATTGAAAGGTAGAATGATGAACGGAGTTGGAAAGCAGTTCATTCATCTCATGCCAGCCGAGACAGCTACGGTGAAGCAGTGGTCGAACTCATGGAGCTGATCACTTGCAGCGAGCAGCGGGGTGATCTGGCCAGTGTGTGGGGCCTGCCGGGTGAGGTAGGGACGCACGAGGCGGACGCGGCGGACAAGGCTAAGTTGGGCGACGTGCCAGCATGGCGAGCCAAGCGTGTTTCTGAGCTGCAGGGCAAAGTGGTCCGCATCCTTGACGACAGCGACGAGGAGCCGCCGCAGAAGCGGCTTCGGGAGGCGCCACGCACTCCGCCACGGCGCGTGGCGACGTCTCAGCCCACGCCAGAGTTTGTGCGGCTCCAGCGTGGCACAACCATGGAGTTGTCGCCTTCGTTCTACGAGGAGTTGCACGCTGTGCGCGCAGAAGCGGAGGTGTGTTCATTTCACATTGCACGTTGTTCGCAACGTGCTTGTGATTCATTTCACACTTGAGTGTTCCAGGGCTCACGCAACCCTGCAGGCCGAAGCGGTGGAGGCTATGGCGACCAGTGCGCGTGGCGCGGAGCTGGCGGAAGCTACGGGAGTGGCTGTGGTGGAGATGGTGGAGAAGGAGGCAGCAGCTGCGGAAGTGGCTGTGGCGGAGAAGGCGGAGCTGGCGGAAGCTACGGGAGTAACTGCGGTGGCGGAGAAGGCGAAGCTGGCAGCAGCTACGGAAGTGGCTGTGGCGGAGATGGCGGAGAAGGCGAAGCTGGCAGCAGCTGCGGAAGTGGCTGTGGCGGAGAGGGCGGAGCTGGCAGCAGCTACGGAAGTGGCTGTGGCGGAGATGGCGGAGAAGGCGAAGCTGGCAGCAGCCACAGAAGTGGCGGAGCTGGCGGAGAAGGTGAAGCTGGCAGCAGCTACAGAAGTGGCTGTGGCGGAGATGGCGGAGAAGGCGAAGCCGGCAGCAGATACGGAAGCTGTGGCGGAGATGGCGGAGACGGATCTGGCAGCAGCTTTAGAAATGGCTGCGGCGGAGAGGTCGGAGCTGGCGGAAGCTATGGGAGTGGCTGTGGCGGCGGAGAAGGATCTGGCACCAGCTACGGAAGTGGCTGTAACGGAGAGCTTGCTGGCTGCGGCAGCGGCGGACGACCGTGCGACTCAGGCGCTTGGGGCGCGACCAGGAGGATCCCGGACCAACACCATTGCAACTCGGACACATTAAGCGGGGGAGGTGGGTTTGCATTTGTTGAAAACCCGGTACCCATTGTTTGAGCTTCGGGGTTTAACGTACGAGGGGCCCACAAGCCTTTGGGAAGGGCCCCTAGGCTGTTCTTCCCTTAAACTCGTGGAGATTCGAGGGTCAAAGCCAATCATGCAGGTCAACCGCAAATTGTCAAACACGTGGCAAAATTCCGTTTGCAGCTGCGAGCTACTCGGAACGACACAAACAGCCGGTAACCCTAAAACTCCGCACCCTCCCATACTTGGCATGTTACATATGACTCCTTGGATAGGGAGAGACCGTTGCTTCATCTTAGGCGTACACGAAGGAACCAGTGTTTCTGGCCGAAGTTGCCAACAAAGTTTGCGCGGATTTGCTTGCGCCCAGTGAGCTCGATGCAGCCAGCAGCAGCAAGGCGCTTGCAGAAACAACGCTTTCCAAAGCGCAAACGCAGCTAAAAAAGCGCTTGGGTCCTAAGGCAGCCAAGAAGTCCAAAGCGAAGACCGCAGCGCAGCCCAAAGCGAAGCCCAAAGCGAAGCCCAAAGCAATGCCGACGCCGTACGTGATGAAGAGGCACAAGCGAAAGCATTTCACTGCTTTCGCGATCAATCTGGACAAGCAGATCATGCAGGCGCAAAGCAACCAGATCAACAACGCTGAAGCCCTCGTTGCAGATCTTACTGCGAAGCTGAACAATGAGGCGATCGCTGTGCAGGAGGCAATTTCCGAGCTCACAGCCGCCAAAGCGCGCGGGGGCTGATCGTGGGATTACTGTGAGGTGCAACACGGTCTTGGAGCGCTCATGCCTCAACCATTGATCACATGTTGTTGCAATCGCCAGCACGCGCATTGCACCTAAAACAAACAGCAGTTCAGCGCGCGCGGCCTTGCAGGACGGCAGCGTTCCTCGACGGCGACCGTCGTCCCCGAGAACCAGTGCCCTACTGCGCTCGTTTGCTGATTGCGTCCTGAGGTTCCATGAGATGTCCAAAGACTAACAGCCAAGCAAACGGGGCTTGATATGAAGCTATGTCGTGCTTGAACGTGTGACTTCTCATGTGGGACGCAGCTCGTTTTTGCTCGGGGGTTGCCAGTGGCGCCTACGCACGAAAAGGTGGTACATGCAATGCTTCACACCTACAAATTGTGTCAGGGCTATAGCCTAGTTGGGGGTTAGGCTCACGTGTGTGGTGCGTAGCAATGGACCCGAGTGGCAACCCAAGCCCAGACCCGCGCGAGGCCTGGTCTGTCAATGGGCATCTCAAACCAAAGCCGAAGACGCTGCGCGCGCCACCTGCCAGGCTCGCATGTGGCGCACCCTGTTCTTGATGACCAAAGAGAACCTACTTGTATTGTGCAGCCTTTGCATCCTTGGTTTGCCCCCTGCCACTTGGACCAAGAGTGTCATGGAAGGAACCCGCAAAAAAGAGACTAGCAACAGAGATTGCAATTGCTTGTTACGAGGTTCTCGTGGATCTCTGCGCCCTGGCAATGCTCACGAAGCAGACCATTGAGTCTAGCGGAGGCCCCAAAGCAAGCGGGAAGCTGGTCTCATGCATTGAGTATTTTGCAGGAAAAGCCAGGGTTGCGAAGGCTTTCAAAAAAACCCGGAGGGCATCCAGAGCTTTCGACTACATGAGCGCCTGGTCTCCAATTGGCTCCACCTATACAAAAGTTTTGTGGCAGTTGCGGTTGCCTATTAATATGTTGAAAAAACATGTGGAACCTCTACCCTTTCAGTTTCCCGTGCTTATTTTAACTGCGGGCAGGTAGAAACATGCCACTAGCCAGCGATGTTTTGCTACCTTTCAGCCCTTCCTACTGAAAGGTAGAAAACGGCACGCAAGTTATTTCTACCTTTCAGTCCTTCTATCAACTGAAAGGTAGAAAATGGTTCAATGTTGAATGTCTACTTCTACCTTTCGCTTCTTCCTTCGTACTGAAAGGCAGAAACATGGTCACTCAAACAATGTTCTGCGGCGTAAGCACATGACAGGCAAAACAATGTTGAATTTACACCTGTCAGTTTCCCAACAAAAGATGCTGCATTTCTACCCCCTCCTACGCGCAAGACAACTCAATGAGTTCTACCGGTGTTAGAATTCAACCTTCTCATTTTAGCGGTCCCTCTCCCTGTCAAGCTGCAACGGAGGATCTGGTAGACATAACATATGCGAGAACACTGGCTTCATGGCATCGGTTGTCGCCCTTCTCAGCCTACGGTTTGCAGGGTTGGCGCACTACGCGACAGTGTGCACATCAGTCTGTTGGGTGAACCGAGCTACCAACAAGCGCTCAAAATGCTTTCCGCTTGGGACGGATCGGGGCTACGTGGCCGCCGGCAGTGTTATGGGCGGGCGCACAGTGGCTTGGCTCAACTTGTTTTTCTCAGCGACACGCACGCGAGTTGCAAGTGCTTGGCGCATCATGCGGCGTCGCTCCATATCCTGCGGCGAGCCTAGGCAGCAATGTGCCTTCTTACGTGGGCTTTGGGGTCCGCGTTTTCCTTGGAGCAGCCGAAAAGCAGCACTATGGAGTTCTTAGCATCGTGGCAGTTTGTGATCGATTTCTTCAAGCAGCGCGGCGTTTGTTTGAAGGCGCACTTCCTGAACATGGGCTCTTTTCTTGCGCCGTCCAAGAAGCCAACTGTGTTGTACACCGTGTTCAACATGGAGCCGTTCACCCAGCTGCCAACCCCTGCAACGCAGCGCCGTCGCAGGGGGCGTGCCCCTGTGACACGCCAGCGCCCGGGATCGTGTGGTAAGAGAAATGCGCCAAACAAAAAAAACGTTTCGGTCCGGAAGTTTGTGGATCTAAGGTATACGGACGGAGCTGGCAAACGCCGCTGCACTGGGGATGCGGGGTTGAAAGACAGCCAAGCTTACACTCCTGAGCTTCCTGGCGGACACCAAGCCCTCAAACTTCGAATATAATTTTCCTGAGGTGCCCATGTGAACAATTAATCTGCAATTTGGCCACAGCGTTGGAAACCCCACCTGCGCTTTGAAAGTGACGGGTAACATCATTTTCGGAGAAATATCTTTTGAATTCTCACGGAAACAAGGAGGGTTGAAACAAGCTTTCAAAAACGGTGTTTCATTCATTCCGCTGTCGGTAACGCCTTTTACTCGGACCACCTTGCTTTCAAACAAGTACCTAGTTGAGGGTGTCCGGAATCCTGTGCTGCGCAATATCATGTGTGGACACCACGAATCTAGGGTCACTACAGTGTTTGAAAATGCAATGTTGTCAGTTTCACGCCCAGGGAAAACCTTAGATTGCGGGGTTGCGCTGGAGAAATTAATTTTTGTCACACTTGCAGGGTGGCAGACCATCTTGGACTAACGGGTGGCAAGACCGCATCTCAGGTTTGGAAGAGCGATGCTGGCATGGTGGATCCGAAACAAGGATGACCTCAAGACTGAGGGGCGCCTAGTTTGCAATAGTGTGCACTATCTGCAAATACACCCTTTGAAGCGCCTTTTGGATTTAGTTGGCACCAGGAGGCAGCGCTTCGAACATGCAGTGAGGGAAATTCGGGATGCTTCTGTTGCACAGCTGGCCGCGCTGATCATGTCTTATAGGTCCAGCCCTGGGTTTAGATTCCCGGAAGCACAGTTGGATGAATTCCTGGACAGCGCCTTGTGGCCTGTGTAGACAGCTGGAAAGCGCAGAAAGCGAAAGAGAGCCAAATCTTTGCGAGTGGTCCCCGAAATTTGTTTGCGCCAGGAAGGAGGGGCATGTCAAATGAGGCCTACATCCAAAGTTGACCTTGCGCTCAAAAAGAAAATCAGGGTTGGGTTAAGGTGACATTTACACAGGTCACGGATTAGCCCGTGACCACCCGTGACCAACCCGTGACCGGAAGAAACGACTGCTTCATTTTGTCCTTTACCGACCCGTGACCAACCCGTGACCAACCCGTGACCACCCGTGACCACCAGACACAACTTGCAAATTCGTGTTCGGATCAACTGAAGACGCAACGCCGATTCACTGCATGCATCACAATTTAGCATTTGTGGCCCAATGAAGGCAGAAGCTGAGCCCGAAGCAATGCCTGTGGACCCAGCGCCACAGACACAGAGTCCCTGGCAGGGAGCGCCTGCAGCTCTTCTCCTCCAACTCCAGCGCAAATCCTCCTGATGCTCCAGCAGATAAACCCGGCAGCATACTTAGCTGCCAGCGCGGCAATGGGCCTGGCCGCATCCCCAGCAAGTCCAGCAACTAGCCAAGCAGCTGCAACTCTACCGCAACCACTCACCATGGAGCTGACCCAGACAGAAGCCGCGCCTCTACCCGCCATGTCACCCCAGCATGCTAGCGCCACAACGCAGCAGACTCCACGCACCTACGCGACCCCGCCACACGCGGCATCTGCCGCAGCACAGACCCCACCACCCTCAGTCGCCACGCCGCACGAAGCACATGCCACAGCGCCGCACCAGACCACCGCAGCACCGCACCACACCACGCCAGTCACCGCCCCGCCATCAACGCAGCAGACCCCGCAAGAGGCTTCCGCACCTGCGCCAGCAACGCCGCAGACCCCGCAAGCTACAGCTGCTGCAACACAGCAGGCTGCCCCGCCCACATCAGCCCCGCCGGAGGCTTCCGCACCTGCTGTAGCAACGCAGCAGACCCTGCAAGCTACAGCTGCAGCTGCAACACAGCAGGCTGCCCCGCCCGCATCAACCCCGCAGGAGGCTTCCGCACCTGCGTTGCTGCCACAGCAGGCTGCCCCGCCCGCATCAACCCCGCAGGATTCCGCACCAGCAACGCAGCAGACCCCGCAAGCTACAGCTGCTACACAGCAGGCTGCCCCGCCCGCGTCAGCCCCGCAGGATTCCGCACCTGCAGCAGCGCAGCAGACCCCGCAAGCTACAGCTGCTGCAACACAGAAGGCTGCCCCGCCCGCATCAACCCCGCAGGAGGCTTCCGCACATGCAGCAACACCAACACAGCAGGCCGCGCAAGCTACCACAGGTGCTGCAACACAGCAGGCCCCGGCAACGCCCGCATCAACCCCGCAGCAGGCTTCCGCACATGCAGCAACACAGCAGGCCGCGCAAGCTACCACAGGTGCTGCAACACAGCAGGCCCCAGCAACCGCTGCCCCGCCCGCATCAACCCCGCAGCAGGCTTCACCAACAGAGCAAACCCTGCAAGCTACCACAGCTGCTGCAGCAACGCTGCAAATGCCGGCTACCGCAACCCCACTGCGCGACGCAGCAGCTGCCGCAGCAACGCAGCAGAAGGCTACCGCTTCCCCGCCACACGGCGCCGCAACGCAGCAGCCCCCACTGCAGGGCACATCTCCTGCACCCAAAGCCCAAGCCGCAGCAACCCAACAGGTTCCCCAGCAGCCTGCCACTGCCGCAACACAGCAAACAGTGCCGCAAGAGCCCAGCGTTCTTCAATGCCCCGTCACCCTGGCTGCGCACACGCGTGCGTGCGAGGAACGGGCCCGCGTGGACGCGCAGCTCAAGAGTATGGGCTGGCTTGTTGAACATGCCTCAAACCCAACGGTGAAGTTCGAACAGCAGGGAGCCGCAGCGACAACAAACCCGGCAGCTGCGCCAGTTGCGACAGCCGCGCAACCGCAAGAGCCAGCAAAAACACCGCAGTTTATGGACATGGCCGCCCTGAAGCCGGAGCCTGCGTACACCCGACGCGCAGCGGCAAACGCGCTTAACAGGCTTAAGCAAAACCCGAAAAGGCAGGCAGGACTGCCCGCCAGCTGGCGCGAGCGACTTCTCGACCAACAAGAGTCTACAAACCTGATCGACGAGTTGTGCGGCGCTGCTGGGGACTTGGACGTGGCCATCGCCGCGTGGACTGAGAAGCAGGAGCAGCAGCAAAGCCCCTCGTATTCACATCGACTGAATCCGGTGACCCTCTGCTTTATAACTTAACTTGGGGAAACCTTTCAGCACAATTTGAGTCAAGTTGGAATCTTTGGGTCGGGCGAAATCAGGGGCAAGTCCTACTCCCCAATTCCCCTGAAAGAAGTGACATGCCTAGATTGTCAAAATTGCAAAGCCATGCTGTTGATTAAACAACATACTTCCTCGTCAAGTCTGCGTTGGTCAGATTGTGAGCTAGTGTCCTAATCGAGTCATGTTTGTAAGTAAGGCAGCCATGCTTATCTGGGCCGAGGCCTCCGAAACAGGGATGTCAGCAAACCTATCACCTTCAAAGCTGCAAGACATCTACGGGGCTGACGCGGAGAAGGTTGCCCTACGCAAGCGGGAGCAAAAGCTGGTGGTTTCCGACAAGAATGACAGTCGCATTGAGTTGTTTCTTCACTTTAGCGAGGAAGTGGAAGCGGAGAACGCAAGCATTCGGACATCGTCAGTTTCAGCCTCCGCTGACTTGACTGCCGCAGAACTTCGGGGAAAGAAGCATCAGCTGAAACACTGCGGCAGTTAACCACGCATTTTTTGTTTTCTCTTCTTTTCAATCTTTTTAGTGGCACCGATGGTTCGAACTGAGGAACCCTGTGGCAGCAAATCTGGTCCATCCCTCGCTTCCCACACCGACTCTGGCGAATGCCCCGCCTCCACAGGGCCAGCCGCAAGGCCAGCCGCCAGGCCAAGAGCCTCTGCCGCAGCCGAAGAAGAAGGGAAAGAAAGTGGTGAACCTTGAAGTTTGCTCTCCCCTTGAGAAGGCCCATGACCTGTTGGGGAAGATCCTGAAGTCGAAGACCCAAGCCTCTGACCTCAGCCTGCAACTCTGGTCCGTGCCCTACGCCGAAGAACTGCAGAAGAAAATGACGGGCTTCGCCGCAGAGTTTGAGCAGGGCCCTTAACAAGCATTCAGATTAACCTTCACTGATTCACAAGTTTCAACAAACCGACCTGTAAGGCACACGTGTAGCAGCTCTCTCCTCATATGGGCAAATATGGTGTTCCGAAAACTTGGGAGTGGGAACGTACGTGGAGTTAGTGCCCTTAAAATGTGGAAACGGTGCAACGCCAAACCTTAAAGCGTGGTGTTGTCAAGGGTGGCTAAACCCTTTCGATGCCCCTGCCTTTGTGTCCAGGGTCGAAGCATCATCCCACCTTTCAATCGGAGGGGGGTAAAATCACGCGTGGCCATTTTACTTTCAAAAGTCACACACTGTTGGGTTGTTTGGCGGGGTGCCCCACACAAGGAAGCAACATTCCCTACTGTGTTTGTGCGAAGGTTGAAACATGTCGCCAATGCCCCGAGAAAGGAAACACACCCGCATATAAAGGAAACAGGCTTCCCGCTTCCAAACGATCGATTCAAAGGTAGAATCGCCAATGATCATTCTACCTTTGAATAGTCCTGTTTGGGTTGTTTTGCGTTAGGCGTTTCCCTACCGATTCAAAGGTAGAATCGCCAATGATCATTCTACCTTTGAATAGTCCTGTTTGGGTTGTTTTGCGTTTGGCGTTTCCCTATCGATTCAAAGGTAGAATCGTGCATAATCATTCTACCTTTGAATAGTCCTGTTGGGTTGTTTTGCGTTAGGCGTTTCCCTTTCAAAACGATCGATTCAAAGGTAGAATCGCCAATGATCATTCTACCTTTGAATAGTCCCGGATTGTTTTGCGTTGGGCGTTTGAACCCTGTAGCCAACCGGGTGCCCCAAAAAAGAGAAGCAACATCCCCTTTCAAATCGATCGATTCAAAGGTAGAATCGCGCATAATCATTCTACCTTTGAATAGTCCTGTTGGACTGTTTTTGCATCAGGGGTTGAAAGAAAAGCCCCGACAAGATAAGGACAACCCCTTACAAGCGATTCAAAGGTAGAATCGTGTGTAATCATTCTACCTTTGAATAGTTAACTACACACAAATGTACTCTTTTGCATACGAAAGGTGGGGTTGAAAACGATTCTCAACAGGGACCTTCAGGCGGGAGAAGCATCACTGTTTTTAAGCACAAGGGCGATCGCATGAATCCAACACACACCCAACCTGTGGGTTCTGTAAAATGAAGGTGTTCAAACAAAGGAATGGTTCAAATGGATAAGTACGCTTGACTGGATCAGAGTCTTGTCAGTCCCCCAAATCCAACAATGAAGTGTTTTTTTATGTTGACTGGTCTTTTGAACATCATGCTGAAGGAATCTCCAAGAGTGTTGGGTGAAGGTTTGTAGTGAGCTTTTAGGAGACACACAGTGTTGGCACTCAAAGCAATTACACGCGGGCCCACTTTGAGGTCATTGTACCTACAAGTGCACGAGCTGGTTTCGAAAGAGGTCAACGTGCCAGAACCCTACTTGAAGCCGGTGCAAGCCTTTGTGCAGCTGCAACAGACCTACGAGAGCCCGCTGAAGGCTGCCACTGCCTTGTCAAAGAATGTGGGGCCCAAGAAGCGCCAGGCCAAAGCCAAACCTGGCGCAGAGGCAAAGCGTCAGAAGAGCTGAGCGCATTTTTGACAAAGCAGGCAAGCTGGCAAAGCTGTGCAGCCTCTAACCACTTGTTTTGCACGGGCTTACGAGTGCCAAGCATTCCAGGGGAAGCACAAGTGTGAGGCCACGGCTGAACCCGCCCGCCCTCTCTTAAAGCTCAGCCTGTTCATGTGTCAAGAAAACCATGAGTGAGAAGCCAAGTTGCTTTTGCCATTGAACAGGCCAGGCCCTCTAGCTATATTTAGATGTGCAACCATGCACGGTTCCGACAGGCCGAAGGCGCAAAAGAAAACTTGCTGACATTGCTCTTAAGTACGGAACGCGTGTGTGCGGACATCTCGCGCCTCCAGGTACCAGCCAGCTGCTGGCCCACAAGCCTCAGCGAGTTCGGCGAGACCACCAAGCTCAAAGTACGCTAAGAAGCTGTGCCCCGGCTGTGTGTGCGTGATTAAACTGAACACTATAAGTGACTATAAGTCACGAGCTATTTTTTTTTGTGATTGTGTCACGGATGCAACGAACAAGTTGCTCGCCTGAAGCTCCCTTAGCCTTTTCCCCAAGTTTTACTTCTGATGTTTCGGAGTGGTTCCTAAGGCCTGTCAACAAGCCAGAAAGCACGGGCAAGCACGGGCAAGCGCATTCAAATTTTAATGGGTCCGGTCCAGCACATGTAAAAAAACGGGTCATCCTATTCGCCAGCACCAAGGACCACAGACAACTTGGACAGCCGTGGGACCGAGCTGGTTGCAGGCATGATTGGTCAGGGCTCTATATCAGTCGCGCGCGGCTCTGAACTAGCAAAAGCTTTTATGCAAGACGGGGCGACGGGCGTTGCCCTAAAACAACTGGCGCACAGTGGGAGACAGCGCGATGTTTACAGGTGGCTTCAAGTTCCGCTGCCGGTTTACACGGCAGAGGTTCCCTTGGCTTCAAGCGAAGGCGAAGATGGCACTGCTTTGATTTCCATGATATTGCCATCTGATGTGCTGTGTCACTTGGCCTCCTGCTCCGACGAAACCTTCGAACGCTCCATTGCCCAAGGTGGGCGGGCTGCTATGAAAGCGTTTTGGGAGCTGCCGTTTTTGAGGGGCCACAACCAGCAAATTGGGCTGGCTTCAAGCCAATTTGAGAACACATGCCCAATGGTCTTTCATGAGGATGCTGTGCCTGCGCTTGGGGACACTGCAACTATTTGGTCGTGGTCATCAGCAATTGCCCCTTTTGGAAATCCGTGGGACACCCGGCATGCTTTGGCAGTTTTGCCAACCGCTCGCATAACTGATGCCACTAGGGACGCCATAGTGGAGATTATTGCTTGGGATATGCGCACTTTGGAGCAGCTTGTCTGGCCAGGTCAAAACCACAAGGGCGAGTTTTGGCAACCAAAGTCAAAGCGCGCCGCGCGGGCTGGTTTACAGTTGCAAATGGGCGGTCGCTTTTGCTTCTGGAAGGGGGACATGGAGGCGCACTGGAAAAGCCATCGCGCAGTTCGGTATTATAGGTGCAACAACTTGTGCGAGTGGTGCATGGCTAGCAAAAAATCACCCGAGTTCGACTTTGCAAGCACAACGCTTGCTGCTCTTTGGAGAGAAACATGTGGCCCTGACAGCTCTCCTGACCATAGCCCATGGCGCGCTGTGCGTGGATGTGTGAAAAGCAACCGCCTCATCGACTCCTTGCATGTCTATCATTTGGGAGTTTTGCAAGATTTGATCGCTTCCTGTTTGGTGGACACGCTCGAACGCGGAGAGTTGCAACAGTACTTCAACTGCGACGCGTTTGACTGGGACGCAACCTTGCTACAGTTTACGGTCTGCGGAAAAAAGTGGGCATTAGAGAGGAACCTCGACATGCACGTTGGCAAGATTACACTGACGCGCTTGGGGCGGAGTGAGCGATCTGAGATTCACATGTATCCTCAGCTGGACACTAGAATCAAAGCCGCGCGGTGTAAGGCGGTGCTTCATTACCTGGCCGCTGTCACACATGAGCTTGCTAACAATTCGGCGTCGGAGTGGGCGAAAGTGCGCGCGCTGGCGTGCTGGGCTTTTTCTACATGCCTACAGTTGTGGAGCTCAGCTTGCCGCGACCCACCGTGCTGCCGCAGCCCGACGAGTCCGTGTGGATTGGGCGACTTGCTTCTGCGTGCTACGAGTGGCTTGCAAAACATGCCCTTCTGGACGGGCGCTGTCTATTTCGCGTAAAACCAAAGCTGCACTACATGTCGCACCTTCTGGACTGGGCTCAGGCAACTGGGCTCAACCCTGAACGCTTGAGCAACTTTCTGGATGAGGATTACATGCAAAAGATTCAGGGAGTAGTTTCTGCGTGCCGACACGTAAGCCCCTTCATATATAACCCCGAGTGCTCTGAAAGTGTAATTTGGGGCCGGGCAGATCGAATCGATCCAGGTAAAGAACCATGATTCCACCTTTCAAAAAGATCGATTCAAAGGTAGAATGACACGTGACATATTCTACCTTTGAATAGTTGCATACGGGTTCTTTTGAGTCAGACTTTTGAAAGGTGGAATGAACATCAATTCTCCAGGGTGCCCTTCCAACCACAGCATGCGCTCAGACTCCGGAGTTTCGAGGCCCAGGCGTGGCGCTTTCCGGCGGCGCACATGCCATGGTCAAGCTGGTTCTGAGTGCTTGTGTGCTTAAGTGTACGCCGTGGCTGTGTGTGTGTACAGAGCGCGCATGTATGTGTGTGTGTGTGTGCGTGTGTGTATGTGTGTGTTCAAGCGTGTGTGTCTGCGTGTGTGAGTGTACGTTGTGTGTCTACGCCTGTGCGTGTGCATGTGTTTGCGCGCTAGAGGGGCCCCGGAGGTCGCGGCCCGTGCGACGACATAGCCGAGCGCGTAGACCGTTGGTCCTCCACCTGCCGGGCCCGGCCTCACATGTCGCGCGCGCAGCCGGCCCGGCAGGTACACGCCCTCGCGAGCCCGGAACCGGAGGACCACCTCCCGCGTGGCCGCGTCCAGGCTGTCCATGGCCTCCTGCAGGATCTGCGCGTCTTTCTCGTCCTCCTTCTGCTCCTTCTCTTCCTTCTCTTCCTTCTCTTCCTTCTCTTCCTTCTCTTCCTTCTCTTCCTTCTCTTCCTCCTCCTCCTCCTCGTCTTCGTCCTCTTCCTTTTCTTCCTTCTCTTCCTTCTCTTCCTCCTCTTCCTTCTCTTCCTTCTCTTCCTTCTCTTCCTTCTCTCCCTTCTCCTTCTCACTCTGCTCTTCCTGCACCCCCTTCTTCTCTTCCTTTTCCCTCTCCTCCACCTTCCGCTTCATCTCTTCCCTGCTTTGAGCCGGCCCGGGCGCGCGCCATACAATCTTTCAATGTGGGGGTCTGCACATGTGCTGAAACACTACATGCAACACACAGATCTGTTTTATAGTTGTAGACACCATAATGTTATGGCATTTGCAGTGTTTTTGCATATGGGGCTGCATGTTGTGATTCCACTGCAAATGCAAAAACAACCCAAAAGTCTACGTGAGTATGTTCAAAGGTAGAATGGCCACGTGTGATTCTACCTTTGAATTGCCCTTGAACACGATTTCTTGCTTACCATGTAATGTTATTGCATTTGCAGTGCTTTTGCATGGGGGGCTACATGTTGCGATTCCACCTTGCAAATGCCTGATATTCAAAGGTAGAATGGCCATGCATGATTCTACCTTTGAATTGCCCTTGAACACCCCTTGTTGTTCAGATTCGAAGAGTCTAGGTTCTCTTATATACGACAAAAGGTGGAATCTCAACATGTTGCGCTGGCAAATTGCAGTAGCCGGTGTGGTAAAAGTCACACGCCGTTTAAACCAGAGGATGCTTGAAAGGGTTGCCCGCGACTACTCGAACATCACCGTAGCCACATGCAAATTGCAATCTTCAACTTGGAAGTCTGTTGAAAGCGCGGAGCTTTGAAAGAAAGCAAGCTGACAGGTGTTTGGGCAAAACATCCTTTCTTCATAGGCGGAACATGATGAATGGGCAGGCCTAGACTAGACGAACAAACAAGTTGCGTTGCTTAACCCCGACCTTCCCAAAAAGATGCACCGAACAAGCGTTACTTCAGCCAGCGATATGCCATATTCTATATTGCGAGCGCGCAACGTGATCATGTGCAGTTTTTTTCATCTACGCCCCCGCGACTGCGGGTCAAAGCCCGTGAAGCCGGGCAACAAACGTCTGCGGTTCGCAGCGATCCATATGGCCCATTTGCGTCCAGGCAACAAACGTCTGCGGCTGGCAGGTTGGGCTTGCAGTTGTTTCTTGCTCTCGCAGTTGTTTGTTGTGGCTGCAGGTGTTTCTAAAAACTGCAGGTGTTTATTAAACGACTGCGGGACAAATTGGGCTCTCCAGGAAGGGGAAGGCACCTACGTCCTGGTGGATGCTCCGGGTGCGGCCCTCGGCGCCAAAGAGGAGCCAGATGTTGGGGACCTTACGGCCCTGGCCTCTGCGGTCATGGCAGATGCTCAGGAGTTTGAGGCTGAGCTGACTGAGGACAAGCTCGAGCCTCTGCTTGCTATCTACGACTCCTTGGAGGGCAAGGAGGCCAACGATGCACACCAGCTGCCGCCGAGCGACCTGGACCTTTTCTCTCAGCTTCCCTTGTCCTTTCCGTGGGCAGAGATTCGGCCTAGGATGGATTGCTTCCCTGCGTGCATGGCTCGCGCCCTCCGGCAGCGTATCCTCCTTCTTCGCCGCCTTGGTCGGCCGTTGCCCTCGGTCCCTTGCTGCACTAGCGGAATCCTTCGCGGCCCCTTTTCGCACCCCTCAGGAGGGCGACAGGCCGGATCGGCTCATGCGCCTTCAGGTTTGGCGGCTGGCGCAGCGTTTTGGACGGCGGCGTTGGGCACTGCAGGCCATGGCTGAGTCGGACTCTCTGACCTGCCATTTTCGTGCCAGTGCATTTCGTGATGGGCAATCTTCATTGAGATCTGTGCTCACTTGCATTCTTGCCCCCGCAGGAGATCTTCGTGCCTCCTGCCCTGCACACGTGCGCGTGCCGGTGCCATGCGGACGCCAGACCTGCTTCGGCGGGGGTTCCCTTGGCGGCGCTACGGCGCCTACCGGCGTTTCACGGCCCCGTTCGGTGTTGTGTTTGGTTTGTTCGCTGTCTGGTTTTGTTTGTTTTGGGCCTGTGATCATTTTCGGCGCGTACGTTTCACATTGTCGCTCAACCGATCGACAGGAGACTTGAAGGCGGCTAGCGACAAAAAAAAAGGTGCTTACTGTCTTCCTTAGTTTTTTCCAGGCGTCCTGTGGGGTGCAGGCCGCGCAGTGTATCACTATGCATGCTGCCAACACCAGTTTTTCTTGTCCAGCCATCGTCCCCACTGAGTCCAACATCCTCTTTGGTGGAGTTGCAGTTCGCCCAGAGATCTTGCAGGTCGTGGCCCCCCTTGCCGAACGTCATGAAGTCGTCTATCAGTAAGGATCTTCGGGGCGGGCTGCTGCGAGCGAGAGAGAGGAATGGGGGACTCTAGGCTCACTTCTCCGAGTCACACTTGGGTCGTGTATGGCAGCTCTCCGGTGGACTGCAAAAAGTTGCGTCAGCTTCTGGCTGCATTTTGAAGCTTTTCCGTGTGGTCCTGTGTGGTGCAAAGCATGCAAAATTGCATTTTGAGGCTTCCCGTATGGTTTCCGTATGCTCAAGACCTTCCAAAATTGCATCCTGAGGCTTCAAGAGCGCTTCCCGTATCGTTCCCGTGTGGTTTTCAAGGCTTCCCGTGTGGTTCCCGTGTTGAAAACCTTCCCAAATTGCATCCTAAGGCTTCAAGGACGCTTCCCGTGTCGTTCCCGTATGGTTTTCGAGACTTCCCGTATGGTTGGAGTATGCTAAAAACCTTCCAAATTGCATCCTGAGTGCTTGAAAGCTTGCAAATTGCCTTTCTGAGTGCTTCCCGTATGGTTCCTGAATGGTCAAAAGCTTGCAAAATGCAGTTCGGAGTGCTCCCGTATGGTTCCCGTGTGCTCGAAAGCTTGCAAATAGCCCCAGTGCAGGCACTGCGGAAACTCTCGCGGATTTGCCGCAGCCTCGGTGCAGGCGCTGGGGAAACTCTCGCGGTTTTGCCGCAGCCCCGGTGCAGGCGCTGGGGAAACTCTCGCGGATTTGCCGCAGCCCCGGTGCAGGCGCTGGGGAAACTCTCGCGGATTTGCCGCAGCTCCGGTGCAGGCGCTGGGGAAATTCTCGCGGATTTGCTGCAGCTCCGCAGGCGCTGGGGAAACTCTCGCGGATTTGCCGCAGCTCCGGTGCAGGCTGGGGAAACTCTCGCGGTTTTGCCGCAGCCCCGGCGCAGGCTGGGGAAACTCTCGCGGATTTGCCGCAGCCTCGGCGCAGGCGCTGGGGAAACTCTCACGGATTTGCCGCAGCCCCGGCGCAGGCTGGGGAAACTCTTGCGGATTTGCCGCAGCCTCGGTGCAGGCGCTGGGGAAACTCTCGCGGATTTGCCGCAGCCCCGGTGCAGGCGCTGGGGAAACTCTCGCGGAATTGCCGCAGCCTCGGTGCAGGCGCTGGGGAAACTCTCACGGATTTGCCGCAGCCTCTGCGCAGGCGCTGGGGAAACTCTCGCGGATTTGCCGCAGCTCCGGTGCAGGCGCTGGGGAAACTCTCGCGGATTTGCCGCAGCCTCGGTGCAGGCGCTGGGGGAAGCCATCGCGGATTTGCCGCAGTCAGGTCGCAAGCCCCTTTGGAGTCGCCGCGGGCGGTCAAACGGGGATGCTCCGGCGGTCCGCGAGCTCCGCGGTGGCCGCGCGGGCGATTTCCTCGCACAGGGGCGCCGGGATCGCGTAGAGCAGCTCCTTGGATTGCCCGCAGACGCGCTCGTAGTGCTTTCCCACGAGCCGCGGCCCCCGCTGCGCCGCCCGGCGGTGCTTGCCGTCCTCCCAGGCTTCGCAGCGGTCGCCGGCCCGACAGAGCCCGCGGCTCGGACGCCAGCGCATGTTGGTCCACAGGCGCGTCTGCTTGCGGTAGGGGGTCCCGTAGCGGCAGTAGGTGACGTCGACGTAGGGCAGCCGCAGCATGAAGGGCCGCGTCTTGAGGAGCCCTGTCTGCGGGTTCTCGAGGACCCACATCGGCGGGTCGAGGTAGGCGATGATCTCGATCGCGCTGGCGTCGCCGAGGCGCCGCGGGCGGCAGGAGCGCCCTGGAGTACTCGGTGCACGGGGGCAAGCTCCACACCATGTCGAAGTGCCCGGGCGGGAAGGCC